AAGAAGTTGTTACTCTTTTCTGAAAACTATCCCGAAAGCTCTTCGAAAGAATCTCAGTTTTCATTCTTATTTAAATGTAAAAATATTTTAAATTTATTTGGGAATACATAGTCATTATATACTTCTATGATGAAAAGAACTTCAATTTTACTTATTGTTGAACTTAAAACTTAAGTCTCAAAACAAAGTTAAAACATTTGTGAAAGACTTTTGAAAAACTTTAAACAATTTATCTTAACTTGACTCTTGACTTCTCTTGACTTTGATTCTTAACTGCTCTTGACTTGACTCTTAACTGATCCTTGGACTAAATTATGGATTTAAGGATTATAATTTCTGATTTAAAAGATCTCATAATGTTTAGGAATGATTCTAGATAGCTAGACATAAGAAAAGACCAAAAATCAATATTTGAAGGTGGGTCTGCGACGTGGAGAAGCTTTTAAAATTTAGTTTCGAAAAGGTCCTTTGAGGAAGAACACCTCGTGTCCAAAACAAACTAAAAATCAGTTTTCAAAGGGGCAATCAACGGTCACCATCTACGGACCGTAGTCTGATCTACGACCCATACTGTGGGTCCGTGGTTCACCACTGTAGCCCTCCAAACACAGCTCAGAAAAATTGGGTAAATCTCGACCCACGGACAGACCTACAGTCTGTAGGCCAGACTACGGTCCATGGTCTGTGTTCATGGATCAAGACTCCTATTACTCAACCTCTTACATGAACTACGGATGACCAGCACGGACCGTCGTTCGATCTACTTTCGATAAGTCTGACCATCGATGAAGGTTAGTAGTCAGTTAGGAGGAAAATGTTGTTGGGTTAACTTCAAATGGTCATAACTTTTATCACAAAATGAATTAGGTGTAATATGACCTATGATATGATAACTAATTGAAGAATCTTTCCAAGGGCACTGAGTTTTTTAAAATCCAACCACTGAGTAAAACGGTTATGCCCATTTTAGTGAAGGCCTGTCGAGAAGACTAAAACGACGTACCCAAATGACGGGCCATCAATTGAATGATGGGCCGTCAGTCCAGGTCATCAATTGCTTCGTCAACAATTATTTCAGGCGTTTATTGTTCTTTTCCTAGTTTGTTTAACCCCTACGATAGGTCTATTAAACCCTAAATCATGAGATTTTAGTCAGTTTAAGCCTATAAACATATCTAAAACTTACCTAAGTCAAAATTATTAATCAAAACTTAGAAAATTAGAAGCAAGAAAGGAGAAAAATGTCAAGAACCCTAGTTCAAGAACGCAACAAGGTTCCATAAGTTACAGCTCCAAAATCTAAAGATTTCTTTGTGGTCTTCATTACTAGGTATGTGAGATTTCTCTAATGGGTTCCTTTAACCCATTGAGTCCCTAAATTTTAGTCAGATAATTGATTCCCTTATCATGATTAGACCTAGGGTTTCTAGAACTTCAGCAAATTATCATGAATTAGTTAGTTATATGTTTCATATCAGATTACCATGTTATTACTTAGATTACTGCATGAATTTCAGAATCCTAGATATATATTTCTTTAGTTCTTGAATTACACATGCTAGGTCAAATATTCAGTTACTTTAGATCTACATGTCTCAGTTATTAATGCACCATTATCATATTAATTAATGCATTCCGAGTTTGTATATTCAGTTTGAGCTATTCAGTATTTACAGAAATTCAGTTATATGTGTTTATCACTTAATTCATTTAGAGTAGCATAATACCGAGTTGGACTACGGTTCACCGTACCCCAGTAGTCTTAGAACTACTAGCCAAGTAGGTTGTAAGTCCCCTTTGTAGGCATCAGTGATCACGCCAACATGTCTTTATATCTATGGCATGGTATATTGGGTCCTCGGTAGAGCGTTTACATCGAAAAACATATTTATCTTATATGGTTTTATTATCGGTTATTAGTAGCCCCTACATTTTAGTTTGGCTCTATTGCATTGACCATATTTACAGTTCAGTTAGTATTCAGTCTCATCATATCATAAATTTGGTCATGGCATCCAGTTAGCTTAGAATTCAGTATATCAAGTTCAAAATATTATACTTACTCTTGTGCTTGTTCAGTTATGTTTTATTTCAGCTTTACTCTATCCTACATACTCGGTACCTTTCAAGTATTGACGCATATGTGTACTACATCTTCTCGTTATTGTATATGGGTATTCCCCATTTTTTCACTTCAATTATGATTTAGCTTCTACATCAATTTATTATCTTTATACACTCGTGATCATGCCAACAGTGTTTCTTGGGATCACTTGTGGTCCTAGGTCCCGTGTCCACGTCTCGGGGGTAGATCGAGGCATGACAGACGTGATGCAAAATTCTCAAATCTAGGAGCTGGGAGCGCGATGCACCACTGATGTCAAATATCGTCCGATGAAATTTCTTCTTTGTTTTTCAGCTCTAAACAGTCTAGACTCCATGGGTTTTGTCTCCAAACACTTATAATTTATTAAATGTTAAAAGTACATCAAATTCTACTCAAAATCAACCTAATTTCATGGATTATATTTGAACAACACCTCAACGATTTGAAAAAATCAAGGTTTTAATGTAACTTCATCAAAACCATCAGGAACTCAATTTCTAAGCTTACAAGAACTTAAATTCGCTGAAATAATCATGATTGGCACATGGGAAAACCAACCCAAAGCTATGTGATCTCACATACATTGTAGAGACCCCCCCCCCCAATGAAATTCAAAATCTAAACTCGACGATCTTTGCGAATCTTGCTTCTCTTCTCCTTTCTCCTCTTATTCTGTCTCTTCTCCAAGCCTAGCGTATTTTGGTAAAAGCGTAAACTGATCTAATTTTTATTAGAACCCAACTTAATTACCAAAAATGAAATAAATTTATTGGGTAAAAAAAATACCAAACTACCCTTTAAAAATCTGGATTGGACTTTCCTTATTCAAACAACCCAACTTTCAGGACATAACTCACTCATATAAACTCAGAATTGCGCAAACTAAGTGGCGTTAGAAAGATTATTCCAAGAGATTTCCAATCATATATGGAAGTACAACTAAATCATACTGAGCTAGAAGTTATGACTATTTGAAGGTGAACAAAAACTCATTTTTCCTAACTTAAACAATTTTCCAGATTTTCATTCTTTTAAAAAATGACTATTTTGGTTCTTAGCTTTTTTTTAGCTATGTCAAATTGCGAGATGTTACAATAGTTAACCAAAAAAATCCAATTTATCTAATAACGACAAATTTAATATACAAAATTGTATTGTTTTCCCTTCTTTCTTGGTATACATAAAGGTGTAACGATCCATCCCGGTCGTTATGGCTAGACCAATGATGAAAGAATTTGAGCCAAAAAACTTTTCTCATATTGGAATCTAGGTTAGATATGGTCTAAGACCATTCGGGAAAGGGTAGGGTGTAATATCTATGCTTGGTTTCTTGTATTTAATACACTAAGGAACCCGTAGTCCTTCACGAAATTGAATTTGAGTGAGTAAAAATCTTAGAATAAATTTTAATGTTAAAAGGATAGATTGGGACATCAGGAGAAAGAGGTATGTTGTGAAAATGGGATTTTAAGGATTTTTGAGTCTTTCAAGTTTGCATAGTCGTTATAGCATGAAGCATCTGTTGTAGAAGGAATATGCAAATCGTTGTACCGATGTGAGTTTAACTATAGCGAGGTTGATATAGCGGGCTAGGTCGCTATAGCGGGGAAAGTGAGATTTTATGTAGAAACAACAACCTCCTTTTTCTATACTTTTATTCTTGTATTTGGAAGGGATGATTTAGGGTTGTTTGAACTCAATTCCCGACTAAATTCATCGGTAAAGATAGATTGGTACTCCACAACCTTGTACAATAATTCTTAAGCCTTAGTATCGAAGCTACTAATCTTGGGGTGAATTTTTGCATGATTTCATGGTGGGAAAAACACTAAGTTGGGGAAGATGATCATGAATTGGCTTAAGGTTAGGATTTGAGTATAATTTGGGTATAATTGGGCATTATTATGATTGATTATCGCATTTATTTATTGTTTTATACAAAGAACAAGTCAAGGCACTTCAAAAGAGAAAATCTCGGGTTCTTTAGAGTTCTAAGAGGCTTGATTTAATGTAGGTGATGTTGTATTGTTTCCAGCTTATGTATGTATGCATGTATACTGCCTTTTATAGTATCATTTGCAAAATGCATGTTAGGAAAAATAAGAAGGGGTTTAAAAACCCCGCATAGATTATTGCAACATTGATACAAGAAATTTAAATAATTTAGAAAATAGACAACCACAAATTTAGCATATTCTAAGAAAAAGGAATAAGTTACGTGACTCCTAGCAAATCAAGCATTAGAAAAAAGAGATGACATATTTTATTGTTTCTAGAAGATAGAAAAATATAAAAGGAAACACATTAATATGAGTATCATAAATAAGAGTTACTAAATGAAGACTTTCCAGAAATTTAGGATATAATATAAGACTATTCACATCAAGCATATTTACAAAAAAATATTTTTTTTCACTAGAGAAATAATACCCTGAACAAGATAACTATTGGAATTGGTTAATATTACTGTTTGATTGTTTAGTTAGTTAATTAAACTATAGCTAATTGTTTACTAATAGTTCATTTGTAAATTAGTTAGTTAGTTAGAAAGTGGTTAGCAATATAAAATAGTTAGTTACAATTTTCAGCTGCATATAAATACTAGTGTAAATGTAATTTGATTAGTTTTTTTATCAATAAGAATCATTCCTAATTCTTTCACGTTCATTGTGTGAGTTCAAATATGGTATCAGATCTTTCAATCGAGATTCAACTCAACTGCAAAATTAGATTTCCGCTATTGTAAATCCTTTGTGGAAGCAGAGGAAAAAGTTTTGCCATTGTAGATCCTTCGTAGAAGCAGAGGAAGAAGTTCTGCCATTGTAGATCCTTTGTGGAAGAAAAGGAAGAAATTTTGCCATTGTAGATCCTTTGTAAAAGTAGAAGAAAAGGAATGACTACTGAAGAATCGGAATCGATTGGAGATGCAAATACAACAAATAATGTTGAAACTTTAGAAACGATTGAGAAGAAGAGGAATCATCCTCTTTATCTACATCTGCCTGATACTCCTGGATGTGTGTTAACTACAGTAAAACTCACAGGCATGGAAAATTATTCGTTATGGAGTCGATCTATGTTAATCAATCTTCAAGCAAAGAGTAAAGTTTGTTTTGTGTTGGGAACATGTAAGAAGAGTGACTATAAGATGTAATTGGAAGAATAGTGGGAGAAGTGTAATTGTTTTGTATTAGCTTGGATCATGAATACAGTATCTAAGGAATTACTAAGTGGAATTGTATATGCTAATGATGCAGCTACAGTATGGAGTGATCTCAAGGAGAGATTTGACAAAGTTGATGGATCGAGGATTTACCAGCTACATAGAGAGATCTGTACAATACATCAAGGTAATTTGATTGTTTCTGGTTATTTTACAACATTGAGGCTATTATGGGATGAATTTAATGCTTTTGTGCCTCCACCTTCATGTAATTGTGATAAGTCAAGGATTTATGTGGATCAACAAGCATATCTAAGGCTGTTTGCATTTTTGATGGGGTTGAATGATGGGTTTGGTCAAGCTCGTAGTCAGATCTTGATGATGAACCCATTGCCAAATGTTAGTAAGGCCTATGCTATGATAGTGGCAAATGAAGGTCAAAGGATGACTGCAGGCACACAATCAAGGAGGGAAATAATGGAGCCTACTGCACTTTATGCAGGAAGAGGAAATTTCCAGAGGAATAATCATACAGGAAGAGGAAACATGCAGAGAAACAACATGAGAACTTCACAGTTGAAGAAAAAAATTGGGATCAAATATGTGATATTGCAAGCTGTAGGGTCATGTTAAACTTGATTGTTTCAAGTTGAATGGTTATCCACCTGACTGGAAGTTTAAGAAGAAACCATTAAAATTTTAATTCAGGATATGATAAAAATGGCACAGGATAGACACAAGGTATGAAGGCAAATCAAGTGAAAGTTGATCAAGGAATTATATAAGATGATTTTGCACCAATCTGCAGAAAAAAAGAAGGTCAAGGAGTGAGATCACAAGAGGTTTCAGCACTGGCAGCTCAACCTACTTTCACTCAAGGACAATATCAGAAAATTCTGCATATGATTGATAAACAAGAAGTGGGAACTTTAGGAACCAATATAGCAGGTATAACTGGAATTATTGATACAACATTGTCTGTAAATTCTATTGTGAAAGAGGGACGGATAATTGATTCAGGAGCAACTTGTCATATGACTCATAACCTGCATAGATTACATTCTGTTTGCAACTTTACGGATCATTTAAATAGAAGTGTTCACTAGCCAAATGGAGAAACTATGTCTGTTACACATTCAGGAAGTTATAAAACACTAGGAGGAGATTTGTTGAAGAATGTTTTGGTGGTTCCTACATTCAAATTTGATTTATTCTCAGTATCACAATTAACAAAACAACTACATTGCTCAGTTAATTTCTTTCCTGAGTTTGTTGTTTTCCATGACCTCTCCAATGGAAAGGTGAAGGGGATTGGTAAGGAAGTGGATGGACTATACTATCTCTCTAGTAAAAAAAACTACATGGAGAAGATAAGAATAATGAGATGATTATGATGACACACAACAGTGAGAATTTGAACAATACTTTGTTATGGCATAAACAGGTTAGGGCATCCATCAGCCAGGGTGTTGCGACAATTGTCTTTGACTTCAACTTCAAATGATATCTGTAAGAAATGTTCTATATGTCCACTTGCAAAGCAGACTCGACTATCTTTTCCTTTGAGTTTCTCGAAAACTAGTAGTATCTTTGAATTGATTCATTTAGATGTTAGGGGACCTTATCATGTGGCCACACATAATGGTTACAAATTTTTCTTGACTATTGTTGATGATAAATCCAGAATGACATGGGTATATTTGATGAAATTGAAAAGTGACGTGTTTCATATTTTACAGTCTTTTTGTGTTCTTGTTAAGAATCAATTTAACAAGCACATTAAAAGAATAAGGTCTGATAATGGAGGAGAATTCTTTAACAAAGAATGTAATGATTTTTTGATTACTCATGGGATTATTCATGAAAGTAGGTGTCCACATACTCCACAACAGAATGGAGTTGCCGAAAGAAAACACAGACATATAATTGAAGTATCTAGAGCACTCAAGTTTAATGTTGATATACCTATAAGATTTTGGGTTGAATGTATTCTTAAAGCTGTCTATTTAATATATAGACTACCCACAATAATATTGGAAGGGAAGACACCTTATGAGGTGTTTCACAATGCCAAGGCAGGGGACTTGATCATCTGAGAGTTTTTGGATGTTTAGGATATGTATACAGATTGCCTAAAGGAGACAAATTTTCACCAAGAGCTTATGCTTGTGTATTTTTGGGTTATCCTGCTACTCAGAAATGATATCTCATGTATAACTTGATCAGCAAAAGATTTGTAGTAAGCAGGGATGCAATCTTTAAGGAAGATATATTTCCATTTCAAAAAATGATTACTAGACAGTTGCCTTTATTTCCTAACTCTTCATTGGATAAATATCAGGATGATGACCATAAGGAGTTGAGTGAAAAGATGAATGACATGGAAACAATAATCCCACAGGAACAAACATTTCGTGAGATTAACATGCATAATGACAGTGCATGGAATGAAGGAAATGAAGATGTTGGAGACATAGATATGATAAATGAAGGTGCAGAGAAAAATGTTGATATATCTGTACCTGATATTATTACTTAAAAACCAAGACAATCTCTTAGGAATTTAAAACCTCCTTTATGGATGAAGGATTATTTTACACATGTTTCATATACTGGTCAGCCTTATTCACTAGGAAATACATGTCTTACAAAGACATTTCTCCTAGTTATGCAGTATATCTATCAAAGTTTTCTATTGAAACTGAGCCTGTAAGTTATGAAGAGGCTATTAAAGATAAAAGGTGGGTTGATGCAATGAAGCTAGAGATACAAGCATTGGAAGAAAATGGTACTTGGGAAGTAGTTAAACTGCCAGCAGGAAAGTGTGCAATTGGATGTAAATGGGTTTTTAAGATCAAATATCAAGCTGATGGGAAGATTGAAATATTCAAGGCTAGGTTGGTAGCAAATGGATACAACCAAACTAAAGGTATTGATTATCAAAAGACATTTTATCCAGTGGTAAAAAATGGTGACTGTTAGAGCTATAGTGGCTTTGGCTGCTGCTAAGCACTGGATCATTCATCAAATGGATGTATTTAATGCTTTCTTACAAGGAGATTTGTTTGATGAAGTATACATGGAATTACCTAAAGGGTTCAAGACGAAGGAAGAAAACATGGCTTGCAAGCTAGTTAAATCTCTTTATGGTCTTAAACAAGCATCTAGACAATGGAATGCAAAATTGCCTAATGCTTTGTGCAGTTCAGGGTATATACAAAGTCACTTGGATTATTCTTTATTCACCAAGAGAAAAGATGATGGAATTGTTATTGTTTTTGTTTATGTGGATGATATTTTGGTGACAGGATATGATGCCAATTTGATATAAGAAACCAAACATGTGTTGCACAGTTATTTCAAGATTAAAGACTTAGGAGAATTGAAATAGTTTTTGGGAATTGAATTTTTGAGATCCAACAAAGGAATAGTTATGAATCAAAGGAAGTATGCTCTAGAAATGATTTCTGAGGTGGGGTTAGCTGCTGCAAAACCAGTAATGACACCACTAGAATGCAACATGAAGTTAAATTGTGTGGAATTTGATGAAGGCAGTGCCATTAATGATGATTTATTTCCAGATATTAACAAATACCAAAGGCTTGTTGGGAAGCTAGTTGTACTTAACTAATACAAGGTCAGATATAGCATTTGCAGTACAATGTTCGAGTCAGTTTATGCAGAAGCCAAAAAGGTCACATTGGGAGGCAGCATTGAGGGTGATTAGATACATCAAAGTTGAACCAAGAAAAGGGTTGTTGATGAGTGCAAATACAAAACCTCAACTTACAGGATTCTGCGATGCAGATTGGGCTGTATGTCCAAATACTAGAAGGTCTGTGACTGGTTTTGTATTGAAGTTTGGTGATTCTTTAATATCTTGGAAGTCTAAGAAGCAAAATACAGTGTCTAGAAGTTCTGATGAAGCAGAATATAGGAGTTTGGCTACCTTGACTGCTGAGATCATTTGGGTAAACAATTTGTTTCATGAATTGGAAGTAAAACTGATAGGACCAGCTACCATTTATTGTGATAGCAAGGCAGCCATACAGATTGCTGCTAATCCTGTATTTCACGAACAGACCAAACATATTGAGATTGATTGCCACTTCATTAGAGAAAAGGTGCAGCGAGGATTAATCAGACCTACATACATACATACATACAAAAGATCAACAAGCAGATGTACTGACCAAGGCACTAGGCAGAATTCAACATGATATCTTAATTAGCAAGCTAGGATTCTTGAACTTGTTCAATACATCCACCTTGAGGAGGAGTATTGGAATTGGTTAATATTATTATTTGATTGTTTAGTTAGTTAATTAAACTATAGCTAATTATTTACTAATAGTTCATTTGTAAATTAGTTAGAAAGTGGTTAGCAATATAAGGTTTTTAGTTAGTTACAGTTTTTAGCTGCATATAAATACTAGTGTAAATGTAATCTGATTAGTTTATTGATCAATAAGAATTGTTTCTAATTCTTTCACGTTCATTGTGTGAGTTCGAATAATAACTAGCCTAGGCTATATCAGTCAATAAGAAGTTTTCAAACTTTTAGTTTTTAGGTTTCTTCTTTGAAACGAATTCGAATCCCCCGGGGATCATGTCACCCATCCCTACAAGTAATAAAATATATAATAAATCCATGAAAAGACATCATTTCAAATAATAAAGTTCTATTAATCAAGATGATTGATAGGTTGATACAAAAATCAAACATTTATTACTTAATAATTTCATTACTTATGATATATTCAGCTTCAGTCTATAGATTAAAATTAGTTGGTAAAGTCGAAGAACTAGCCACATTCATTAATTTTGGATCTTTGTGCTTTTCAATCTCTTGATTCAATTGTTTGAGATCCATCTCTTTAGTCAATTGATTTTCAAATTCTCTGAGCCCTTCGTACAACTTTAAAAGACTTTCCAAATAAGGAGACTCAAAATCTTGTGATTGTATATCATCTTCAACGGATTTTCCTTTCTTCTTATTTTCTTCTTCCTTCTTTTTCATCTTCATATAAAATCGAGGTGCGGTTGGATGGTTGGCCTCAATAAATTGGTGAATAACCAATTCTGCATCAGGCTTCCCAAATACAATTGGTTGACGGTTGATGAAGAGGATGATGATGGCGACCTGAATACCACACAAAATTGAAAGGTCGCTTGCTTTTTTGAACAAAGCTTTTTGCATCTTTAAGATTTTACCACCCTCAGCACGTTTATCTTTTGCAACTGCTGAATCAACATTGGAATTCTTTGATTCCATGGAGATGGGAAAACACAACAATTTCTTGCCTGATGTTTACAAAAAACTTGAACCAGAATGAATATATGTTCTACCCAAACCTTCAAATTTATAGTGATTTCCCTCCGTCATTCGACTTTCAGGTTCTAGAATTTACTCTAGGTAGTTAAATATTTACTATTTACAAAAATCCCCCTTATAGTTTGATAACATAAAGTTACCTCCTCTCTATTTTTTCAAAAAAAAAATCGAAAATGTTGAATTTTTTAAAAAAATATATACATTATCCTTACTAATATAAATCATCATACATAATGTTATATATTCTATTAATTTCTAAGAGAAATAAATTTGTCTATGAAAACTATTCATATTAAATAAGCGGAAAATCATACTAAACTAAGTCAGTCATTATATATAATTGAATTACAAAAATAAACATAAAGCTTTGGTATTCCATATAAATAATTATCAATCACTTTGAAATTTTTTTTTTTTTGGCAATGTTATTGTTTTTTAGTTTGAGAAGAAATTTTATATATTAAGAGATTTGACTCTTCCTTTTCCATCAATCATATTCTAAAGAGAGGTGATTGCAATAAGATTTTCATTAGGGGGGACTCCAATATAATTTTAAAGCTAGATGGAGATGAGTGCAATTATGCATAACTTGTGAATATTGCCTTAATTTTCATCTTTAGAATAGAAATATAGTAGATTATCTAAATCTTCATTTATTGATTAGATTTCCAATTTGTAAAAGTCAATAAAATTAATAGGAAAAAAACAATTATAGTGATATGCTTATTAATTAGGAAGTATATTTTCTCATAAACCAAAAATTCACATCTTGATGGCACCAATCACAATCTCACATATTGACAGGGCAATTCTTCAATTACCAATCATTTAACAAAATTATAAAATATAAATTAAATAAGAAGCAAAAATAAGTGCTACACAATTTATCACTAAATTCAATTAGAATGTGGAAAACAACTGTAATGTTAAAGACATAATAAGATGGGTACGGACTTCAACGGTATAAAGATATAATCCTAAAAGTTCATATGCTTTTTGCTTAAGATACTTTGTTACAACCGTTACTTTTAAATAAAAAAAACGTAAAAATTACGTAAATCACATAGTGTAAAATATAAATTATTTTCTATGCCTCTTCTTTTTTAATTTACAAAAAATCTCTTATTTTTAATAAGTTTCGGATACATAATAAAACCGTCTGATACATAATATAGTATGCCATTTTATCAATTTGTTGCGTGATTTGGGGGATTAAAAGTTCAAATTTAAATTAAATCCTACTTTTAATACGCTACAGTTATTAGTCCCATAAAAAAAGGTATTAACTTATGTGCTTCAAACATCAGTTTTATCCAATATAAAACACTAAATTAAATTATAATTTTACATCAGTGATCGTCCCAATTTTTTTTGCAGAAACGAGATTCTTAATTTCCTTGAAGGTAAATTTGTGAATTTTCGTAATGAATATTACGATATTACTAAGGCATTCAGGAATATGGGAGAGTGAGGTTACATACAATCGATACAAAACTGATGGGATAGTGGTTGGGGAAATATTTCATATATGAATCTAATCTCAGTCATTGCTACTGAATTAAATGTTGAAGAATTAAAAAAAATATTATTATCCGATATATTGTAGAAGGCAATTCTTCTCAGATGATAATTAGGAATGATATGGGTGTGAATCTGTTTATAGAAATAAAGAAGCAAGAGGTTGGATTCAGTATGTATCCGCTTTGCATCGATACCAATGATAAAAGTACAGAGGAGTTACAAGTTTTTGAGTCAAGCAGTGCTGCAATTATGTGTATTGAAGGTGGACAAAGAGACCGCTAATGCTCTAAACGTTGTTGAATCGAACATTGGTGATTATTCGATACCCTCAACCCCCATTGATAACTCTAAGTCTCTTAAGATACTTTAATTGTAAGTACAACCAAACTTAAGAGAGTGTTTTGAAATGTGTTTAACCACATAATTCATATTCTGCAACTGAAAAAAGTGATATTGGAATTTAATAGAACCAACAAGCTTAACATGATACATAAAATGCAAAAATAAACTTGATACATAATTCTAACAACATATCATAAGTCAGTTAAAATGATAGTTAACAGAAAATTTATAGCCTAACATGATACAAAAATGCAAAGTTGTACTTGATATATAAGTGTAACTACAGTTATAAGTCTGTCTACCAGATACTTTATAGCAATAACAAACTTTAACATGATACA